AGAAAAATAGTGGAGAAAATTCTAGAACTGACAAACATAATCCACAAATTCAAGGAGGCTTCCCTTTTCCCTGAAAAAAACTCTAGGACAAATAAAAGGAAATACACATCCGTATTTATAAGAGTATATTAACCTGAAGAAAAACGTGAAGGGATGCACAAGAGGCTGATAACGCAGGGTGTATGTAGGGGAGGGTGGAACGAGTGATGTGGGTGACCAAGGAAGAGGAGGGAAACGGCAAAGCAAAAAAGAAAAGAGAACTGACACAAAATTCATGGTTATATTTAGGGATTTGTATAAATGTATATATATGTAGAAGAATATTTTTAAAAAGTATAAACAAAAGGGGAAAAAACTGAGGGACAAATTATCAAGTAAAAATGGCTCTCCTGGGTCTTTGTAGTCAGAAAAAAAAAAAAAAGAAAAAGTATGGAATCTCCCTTCCTACAAGATTTTTGGAGCCAGAAATACAGGACTAAAAACGGCACTCTGAGACCATGATCATCGAGCATTGGTTCCATTCTTGTCTGTAACTCTCTCGTTGTTTTCCAAGCCTACACCTAGAAAGGGGCAGAGACAGTGAAGGGCAGATTCAGAAAGCAGCGTTTCTTTGACACCTGCGGAATCCCATTCGAATAGTGTTTGAATAGCAATCTGAAAGCTGACGGAATTATCAATACTCACTTTGACTCCATTTCTCTCAATTTAGATCCAGCTGTGAGTTGCATGTTCTTTCGCTGCCAGTTTAAATCTTGAATATGTTTTCTGTAAAAAATTATGTATATTACTCAAATACATTTAATTATATTTTAATCACAAGTTTCATAAAACATGCTCATTATGAAAAATCAAACACACACACAGATACAGATTACAAATCAAGTCCCTCCTCCCATGCATGTGTCCTTCTTCCTGGTAATTGCTGTTGGGTATCATTCCAGATTCTTTCCTGTATGTGTATGTAGAAATTAGTTTATAAAATCAGATTATATGTGTTACGCTTCAACTTTTTCTCCTTCTAAGAAGGCCTTTTTTATGTATGTAGACTTAACAAGTGCAAAGGGCCTGATAGAGATGTTTTTTGGACCTCAAACCCCTATTTCTCCTCCACTCAGGTAGAGCAAACAGTGCCAGACACTGGACAGAGAGGGTGGATCAATCGTTTACTTTCATATGACCATAGTCTCACTGGTTTCTTTTTCCTCCCATTTTCTATTTATTAAGGGTTCACTTAAACTTTGGCTGGGTGCAGTGGCTCATGCCTGTAATCCCAGCACTTTGGGAGGTTGAGGTGGGAGGATTATTTGAGGCCAGGAGTTCAAGATCAGCCTGAGCAATATAGCGAGACCCCGTTTCTACCAAAAAAAAAAAAAAAAAAATGGGCACAGTGGCAAATGCCAGTAGTCTCAGCTACACGGGAGGCTGAGGCAGGAGGATACTTTAATCCAGGAGTTGGAGGTTGCAGTGAGCTATGATGATGTCACTGTACTCTAACCTAGGCAACAAAGTAAGATCCTTTCTCAAAACAAAACAAAAAACCACACACAAAAATTTAATTCTAAAATAATAGAAAAAACAATTTCAATTTACCTTAACTTCTGAAGCTCTTTCTGTGCATGTTCAATCATATGAACTAGATTTCTAAAGAAAGAAAAGAGAAAAATTACATTTTAAGGTACATTCAGATCTAAGAGTATCAAGTAAAAGTTAACTATCTAGTTCATACAAAGTCAAGTTTTTCTGCTAAAATAGCAAATACTGAGCCAAATGTGCCAACTACTATGTTAGGCACTTCATATATACTAGCTAATTCAATTCTCACAGGAATTGTCTGAGGTAGGTGTAATTTATTATCCCAATTTCACATGTGGGGAAACTAACAGAAAGATGAAATAACTTGTTCAAGATAACAGAGGTTAAGTGTCTGAGCTAGGCTCTATTTCAGGTCTTTTGAACTCTAGAGCCAAGCTGTTTACTGATATTTTGATTTTGAGTACTTATGTCACTTTTTTTTTTTTGAGACAGAGTCTCACCCTTTTGCCTGGGCTAGCGTGCCGTGGCGTCAGCCTAGCTCACAGCAACCTCAAACTCCTAGGCTCAAGCGATCCTTCTGCCTCAGCCTCCCGAGGAGCTGGGACTACAGGCACGCACCACCATGCCCGTCTAATTTTTTCTACATATTTTTAGCTGGCCGATTAATTTCTTTCTATTTTTAGTAGAGACGGGGTCTCACTCTTGCTCAGGCTGATTTCGAACTCCTGAGCTCAAACAACCTGCCCGCCTCGGCCTCCCAGAGTGCTAGGATTACAGGCATGAGCCACCCACCGCACCTGGCCCTTATTTCACTTCTTAAACAGTCATGACTTCTTTTCACAGAGAAGATGGAATATATCTGAGTACACCCATTTTTTTTGTATTTCTCAACTCCTTTTTATTTCTATATTTCTGTATCTACATTTATCTTGTCCATTATCTCCTCCTGTCTCCTGCTAACTAGAGAGAGGAGAAGAAAAGAAAACCATTGTAGAAGGCTGGAGATTTAGATACCAGTCCAAGTCAGCTCTAACTAGCACAGGGCGAAAGTTCAATATTACATAGCACTATGTGTTTATTATCATTAGAGAAGTAATTCGACAGTAGATTTCAATCTCTCTTTAAAATTTAAGTAAGTTTTATTGAGATATAATTCCATATCCTACCAATTTCCTCTTAAGGCAGTGGATCAATTACCTTTAGAATCCATTTCAACCACACTTGGCCCTACTGTGTTATTGCTCTAGATCTAAAGTTTCCTGGCTTTTGTGATTCAATTGTCTGCTGCTCATCTGAGTTATTTTCCTATCTCTACTGACAGGTTTCCTTGCACTATCTGCAATTCTCTCACAATTCAGTCTTTGAACAGCCGTGCCTTTCTAAGCTTTCCCTCAGCTCATCCTATTTTCCTTGCCTTTGACAATCACTCCATGCTGAGGACCATTACTTTTAGTGTTCTATTCCTGACCTCTGACCATTGATAAGCTTTCCTTTAAATTACTGCTCCCTGAAAGTTTATTTGTTGTCCTCTCCCTTCTCCCATCCTCCTCTTGAATTTACTTTGATAAAAAATACAGCATACCTCCTCTGCACAAGTACCCATTGGATCTGGAGGAGACAAAATATGCTCAGGGGAATGATTAACACTATAGAATACTCTGCGAGTAACTGGAAAACAAGAGATGTGCATAGTAATAATAGTCACTCAGAAGAAGGAGTCACTACTAATGTAGTACTTGCCCCTACACTGCCAAAAATGGACTACTGGTTACCTGGCATAGAACTTCTTGTCTTCTCAAGTAGATAAAGCTTCTGGAGGACAAGGAAGACATTTTTTCCACCTTGTGAAACACATTTTCCATTTAATAGAAATTTCTTAAATTTCTTAATCACTCTAATCTCATTCTTCTTTTTTACCCCTTGCAATAAATTCACAAAAGCAAGTGAGTTGCCTGTTTTGTACAGTTTCCCAAATTCTGGATTTTGCATACTAGATTGTCATGTGGCTACAGAAATTTAAAACATAATTCTGATGATCTCAGAAAATGTATTTATCATTCTGCGGTTTTGCTTTATATAGTTGTTTCAGAAAAACATAATTAACAAAAATGTTACATACAGTCATGAGGTTCAATGGCCTTTTCCACTTAAATTGTTAATAGACACTCAAGAAACTTCAGGGCTCAAAGAGGCCAGCACTGAATTTTACAAACAAGGAAAATGAACTCTGGATAGACAATAAAAATTAAAGCTAAAGCTAGTTACATGAAATAGAAACAGTGTATCAGTGGCTTATTTTGGCAGCAAAATCCAGTGTTAATTCTCTATTTATAGTTTTGAGTCTCACTACTGATGGATTCTGTATTTATAAATCTGTCTACTCGAATTTATTTGTAGTCCTAAAATCACTACTTATAGTATTTTGCAGTCATTCACAGACATGTGCACAGCAGTGAAAAATCTGGGTTGCTGGGCATGCACATCCCCAGCTGAAGTTGAACAAAGAGATGCTTTGCATTCTTGCTTCAGCTCTCAAACAGAAATAACCAGAGGATGGAGTTCAAGTTCCAAGTCTAGCACTGGTTAGTGGGGTAGTCTCAAGCAAGCTGCTTTACACTTCTGAATGTTAAGTATTATATAAAAAATGTGGCAGTTAGGTTTAGGTCCTCTTAGTGCTCCGAAATTTGAGGTGGGTCTCAAAGTAGTTGCCTTTTCCTATGAGTTGCAGTTCTAGGACATGATCCTAAACCAAAGTCTAGCTATATTATTTTTATCCCATTTCCCCTACCCTACCTCCCAAACTTTTAAAAAATACTAAATTTTTGAATGGGATGGGTTTTACCAAAAGAAAAAAAGCTTCTTACTCATTATATACTTTCCAGGCATTACATCCATGCTGTGACATTAGTTCCAGATTCTCAATTCGAACTGCTTGATGCTCTAACTGGGCCATAGAATTGTTTACACATTCTTGCCATGCAGTAATGTCATTTTTCTGACCTGAGGAAGGAGCTGGAAGCTCATATCTGAAATTAAACAACAAAATAAATAAAACCATATATACTGCCAAGTCTTTATACCTCCTCCCAACAGAATGCCCCATGGGTCTACGCACATTGTAAAAATCACAGAAGACTGAAGATGCGATGCAAACCTTGCAATAATAAAAAACCTATATACCCTAAGAATCAATTTACAAACAAGATTTAGCACTATTATATATACTAACAAAGAACTGTTCACTTCAATGTGAACTGGTTAAATAAGCTATATTATGTTCACATAAAGGATAGTTACATTAGCTATTACATGATGTTACTGAAGAATATCTAATAATATTAACATATATTAAAGGAAAGAAGTAGGATATAAGAAATTTGGCTACCCTTTTTGTAAAACACCCACACCCACCCTCCACTAATGTAGCCAGGCCCCCTGTAGAGAAAAAAATGGGAAGGGATATAATAATTCTTCGCATTTAGACCCCACACTCCGTTCTCTCTCTCCATACTACCCAGTCTTTCAATACTACCAACATGGCCAGCAAATACATTCTCCATAAAACTAAATTTTAATTTCAATTTTAATACTCTTACCGTTTCATACTGAGCAATTCAATTGGTTGTCGAGCAGCCAGTCTTTCAAATTCATTTCTCATTATGTCAGTCTGATGTATAAATAAAAGGAAGACTTATTTCCAAGATCATACTGACAAACTGAAATTAACAATCACTGAATAATGGATTTAGCCTATTTATTCTTTATAGTACTCATCATAATGGATCATGTCCCTTCCCTTAATTCTTCTCTGGGTTAAACGCTGCTAGGATCTGGAGAAGAACTCCCCACCCCCCACCTCCCCATTTTACTTCCATATTCCATACTCAGGCACAAAAGGCAGTATATATAAAGCCCGCAGAAAAAAGGATTAATCTTAAATCAGTGGTTTTCAATCCCAACAGCACATAGGAATCAGTTGGTGAGCGCTATGGTTTGAATATTGTGCCTTCTGAAACTCACGTTGAAATTTATTCTCCAACATAACAGTATTAAGAGGTGGGGCCTTTAAGAGGCAATGAGGCAGAACCATCATGAATGGATGAATGGGTTATCATGGGAATGGGTCTGTCATAAAAGCCAGTTTGGCTCTCTCCTGTGTGCTCCCACCTCTCCCTGTGATGCCTTGTGCTGCCTTGGGACTCTGTAGAGAGCCCTCCCCAGCAAGAAGGCCCTCATGAGATGTGGCTCCATGACCTTGCACTGCCCAGCCTCCAGAACTGTTTAATACGTAAGTTTCTTTTCTTTATAAATTACCCAGACTCAGGTATTCAGTTATAGCAACAACAACAAAAAACCCAAACTAAGACGGAGAGCTTTGGAAACAATTCTAGTCCCAGCCACATCGCACTCCTCTCCAACACTCCTATTTAATTGGTCCTGAGGTAGAGCCTGGACATGATTTTAATTTTTGTTTTTAACTCACCAGTTGATTACAAAGTGAAGTCAGTGTTGAGAACCATGGATCTAAGTACTCAGTGGTTATGGGGAAAGAAGACTTTAACAAAATGATTTGCTTTAGGTCTATGAGCCTAAACTTACACTTTCTTTTTGGTCCTGGTGGCTGTTTTTACACTTTGCTCTTTGCAAGGAATGGAGAAGAGGGGAAGGGGCAAAAGTAACCAGTTCTGCTATCTGCTCTAGCAATTTCACTGTTTTCAAGCTGTGCCTCTTTAGGTTCGATGTTTTGGTCAATATCGTATCCCATTTCTGTTCTGCACCTTTCCTACCCTAAGTATTGATATAAACAACTGCTTGAGTAAAATATTCATTTATAGTAATACTTCAGTTATCCCATGTAATTTCAATTTTCTTTTTATTTTATTTTTTTTGAGACAGAGTCTCACTCTGTTGCCTGGGCTAGAGTGCCATGGCATCAGCCTAGCTCAAAGCAACCTCAAACTCCTGGGCTCAAGCAAGCCTCCTGCCTCAGCCTCCCAAGTAGCTGGGAATACAGGCATGCACCACCATGCCCGGCTAATTTTTTCTATATATTTTTAGTTGTCCAGCCAATTTCTTTTTATTTTTAGTAGAGACAGGGTCTCGCTCTTGCTCAGGCTGGTCTCAAACTCCTGAGCTCAAACGATCCGCCCGCCTCGGTCTCCCAGAGTGCTAGGATTACAGGCACGAGCCACTGCGCCTGGCTATAATTTCAATTTTCTGAGGGCTTTAACTATCCTAACAATTAGACTAAAGAGTTTGCAAAAAAAGAAAAAAAGGCATTCCAGAAGCCCCATTCATGTTTAAAAGTTTTGCATTAAGCACTTCTTCTTGGAGAAAGTCTTTTTTGGGGCTACTGCTGAATTATACACAACTCTAAGAAAATGTGGTTATCTAGTTTCCTACAGAAACCCAGGGCATTCTAGCTAGAAGGTTCTGCACAATGACAAACAAGGAGTAATAACTAAGAATTAGGTAAGAGAAACTACAAAAATGAAGTATATGCCTGGGCAATATCAAGACCTCATCCATACAAAAAAAAAACCTACCTGGGCATGGTGGTGTGTACCTATAGTCCCAGCTACTCAGGAGGCTGAGGCAGGGGAGACTGTTTAAGCCAAGGAGTTTGAGGTTGCTGTGAGCTATGATCATGCCACTGCACTCCAGCCTGGGCATCAAAACAAGACCCTAGCTCGAAAAAAAAAAAAACAAAAAAAACAAAGCAGTGTAAGTAGTCTTGAGTATGTAACATAGGCCAAGCCAGCGTTCATGGAGCTAAGCCAAGAAAAACTCCAGGTAAATTGGGCACATGGTAAGCATTCATTAAATATTTGGGTGCCTACTGTGTGCCAAGCACTGTTCTAGGCAATGAAGAAAACAAAAAAACTTCCCTGCTCATGAAGCAGCGTTATCTCTCAACCACCCAATCTAGAGTAGTCCCCAGTCACTCCACCACATCACCACTTTAATTCTCTCTATAGCATTATAGCATTTACCAATAATCTGATATTTTCTGATTTGTCTGTCTCAACACTCTAGAATGAACGTGAAAGTATGGACCCTGCCTAGCTCTAATATCCAGCATAGAAAAGACCTTCATAAATAGTTGTTAAATGAATTAATGGAAGAATAGTTTCAAACGCAGTGTGAAGGGTGGTTAAGGTCTTGGTCGATTAGCCTCTCCAAGCCACAAGTTTCCCCACCTAACAAAATGGGGATAATAAACATACAGTTATATCGTTTAATTAATTAATTAGAGATGCAGTCTTGCTCTGCTGCTTGCTGGAATGCAGCGGCACGAAAGTAGTTCACCGTAGCCTCAAACTCCTAGGCTCTAGGGATCCTTCTACCTCAGCCTCCCAAGTAGCTGGGACTATAGGTGTGCACCACTATGCCTGACTAATTTTTAAACTTTTTTGTGGACACAGGACTCTCCATATGTTGCCCAGACTGGTCTCGAAATCCTGGCCTTAAGCGATCCTCCACCTCGGCCTCCCAAAGTGCTGGGATTATAGGCATGAGCCATTGTGCCTGCCTGTACTTAGTTCTTAACATGGTTAACATCTACAATTAAGTACCAACATTTAGAAAAAGTGTAGGAAAACAACATTCTTCTACTTAAAACTTAGCCAACATTTTTTCCATGTTACTTCAATATAAACAGGGCCTTTTAATAACATAATCCTTTCATAAATAGATGATTACACAAAATGGGGGGAAACCCCTAATATGTACATCCTGAAATGCCTGAATCCAATAATTTATTTATTTATTTTGAGATAGGGTCTCGCTCAGGCTTGTGTGTAGTGGTGTCATCATAGCTCACTGCAACCTCAAACTCCTGGGCTCCAGTGATCTTCCTGCCTCAGCCTCCTGAGAAGCTGGGGCTATAGATGTATACCACTACAATCCTCCTGCCTTAGCCTCCCAGAGTGATAGGATTACAGGCTTGAGCCACCATGCCCGGCCAAATAATACATATTTTCAAGAGACAGGATCTTGCTATGTTGCCCAGGCTGGGTTCAAGCGATCCTCCTGCCTTAGTACCCTCGCCCCAAAGTACCTAGGACTATAGGCCTGGGCCACCAGGCCTGGTTAATTTTTTAATTTTTTGTATAGTGGGTGGTCTTCCTACATTGCACAGGCTGGTCTTGAATTCCTGACCTCAAGTGATCCTAGCACCTTGGCCTCCCAAAGTGCTAGGATTACAGGTGTGAGCCACAACACCCAGCCTGAATCCAATAATTTAGAAATGATATTTTACATTTCATTGAGCTAATTAGACCAAACTAGTATCTTGGGTGCATTTCTAGGTTAAACATTTAAAATAGTATATATTTAGATATGGTCTGTCCATTCAGTCTTTACACGCATTTAGTAAATATCCACGCTTTGATACAAGGGCCGCTCTTCAGTAACTGGGCTTACGCATATCATAAAACCCTACATCATTTGCTGTAAGGTAGACCTGAGAGTAGAAAATTCCTGTGACCATTTACCAATGGACCGTATCTCAAAAAACTGTACACATAAATTTTTTGCATTGTTAGAGAGTTCGCGGAGCTTCAAAGTCCCTTTATAGGTCTCCGAAAAAGAATCCCAGAGAAAGCTTACCTATCTTATCTGTTACAGGTAAGTAACATCTAAGCAAACAGCGGTTAAAGCTGGAATTTAAAATTCACTTTTACGTAACTAAAGCTCTCAATCCAAAATAAAAGTTCACGGGAATCCTCGTTCATACCCGGGCTCAAGACATCACACTTACTTCAAAAGCAGAATAATCTGGGGCTGTCAGGTAGCTCAGGTAGTTTTTAGTTGGTCGATACCTGCGGGTTTCCTCCTCCACCAGCGCCGCAGCCTAAGAACGAGAACAAGGGTCAGAAGAGAAGCGGCAAATTGCTAAGTGCTTCTTTCAGTCCTAGGCCAGCGAGCGCTGAGTCACCCGCACAAACACCCTGCACTCACCGCTTCCCTCACACCAGGCGCTTCGTAACCTTGATCAAAATACGGCAGCGCGTCCACCACAACTTCTCCAGCCACCAAGCCCGTGCCCGCCATCACAAAGAGCTTAGCACCGCTCGCGTTCTCTGTTTGCGCAGGCTCAGTCCTATTTAACCGCGCCTGCGTTCAACATCGATGTAATGCACGACGCTTGCGCACTGATGTTGACGCATGCCCAGTTGCTGATTCTGAAGGCGTATGTGCCCGGCAGCTAGAAATTGCCGGGCTATTTTTGTTTCGGGCAGACGTGACGTGACGTCACATCCTGTATTTCCAGCGTTTGCTGAGGACCCCAAATTCCTGTCCTCGGCTTGCCGATTTTTTTTTTTTTTTTTTGCCTGCGAGTGGCGGCGATTTGGTGGATTTGGAACTTTTCGTTTCCTCCAGAACGTTGGTATCTGGAGGGGAGACTCTTTGGAACTTTTGCAGGGAACTAGCTGCAGGATTTGGCGGGGAAAGAGAAGCTGGTTTCCCGGTTTATTCCCTTTCCACTTTCTCGTCTTAAACTTCTCTCCCTTTGTGCCAGGCTGTTCTCCTTGCCATAGCCCCACTATCCTTCGCTCTCGGGGCCCTGGAAATCTTTGCATTGGATCGGTACAGTTTTTTCACAGACTCTAAGAGTGGACGCCACTCTCCAAGTAAAACTGTGAATCTTTAGGGCCTGCGTAACAAAGGGAACCTTAATCTCCCTCCAAGGCGAGGTTAATAACTGTCCACCACCCCCAACATTGAAAAATCCTGTTATTTTGCCTTTACGGCATGTATAAAATTCAGTCATTTTGCCTTTAGGACTTAGGGTAATAGCGCTCCTCAACTCAAACTGCTGCCAGGGCACCTCTGCTATGAGGCTCCTGAACAAAACAGCCTATCTTTGACTGAGCAGGCAAAGACCAATTTAACATTAGGTAAATGTGCTAGCTAGATTAAGTGAGGTAAAAGATCTTTACATTTTAAGAATTCTCCAAAAGATTTGTGGGATTTTTATGTGTTTATTCATTAAAAGCTCTGTAAACAACATTTTATACAAATCTCGAGCAATTCTTTTACAAACGTCCAGAATTAATAATACTTTACAAAAACAAAACACAATAGACCCAAGGAAAGGATGCAGCTTCAGATTGTAGTAAAGTAAGACTCCCATCCCTAAAGCAAAGGTCTCCTCACAGAGGGATAGCCGGGATCCACCACAGTAAACCCTCCTACCCCCATTTAATAAACACCTAATTATTAATTGTTCCCTCAGGGTTGCAGGGTAAGATGAGAGCAAATGGCGAAATGTCTGATAGGAGTCTCACTGGGATAAGCTGCTTAATCAACATTTAAAAAAAGACATAGGCTCGGTTCTAGTCCCTGGACCCACATCTGTAGGAATTATATTACACAGCACCAGTGTTAAATGGTGTCTGCTTCAGATTCATGCATACCTGAAAGGGTTGTAATGACAATACTGTACAAATCAATAAATTGCATCACAATACAATTTACAATGTTTTGTAAGTTTGAATAAATATTTTCTATGCCAGTTAAAACCATCAGCAGAAGGAGAGGAAAACAAACATATTTGCTATAACATTCATCAATGAAAATTATACCATCACTGACAAATTCTTCTTTCCAATCACTACTACTACTTTAGATATTAAGGATCTGGGTTCTTAAGCTGTGTATGCTCAGGAAATTTTCATATTCTGAGTTCAATTTAATTAGAGCAAAAAGTCCAACAATTCTAGGGGAATAAAAAGTCTTATCTAGGCACCTATAGTTTAGAGTCCCTTATCCTCAGAGCTGAAAAGGGTTCTGGTATACTTAATAGAAAAATTTTTAAATAGCTGTAATTCTACAGAGATCAAATTTCCTCCATCTGTAGGAGGAACTTTATTTGTGTTCATAAAAGAAAAGTCCTGGCTTCAGTTCTGTCTCTGTTGTACAACTATGGGCAAGTTATTTAACCTCTTTGAATTCCAGTTTCTTCATTAGTAAAATGGAGATGCAAATATCTGCCTCATAAAGTTGATTTAAGGATTGAATAAGATGATACACATACATGTACCAAAGTGTATGGTACATGGTGGACACTAAAAAAAAAAAAAAAAATGTAGTTCCCATGCCCTTGAAAGGACATTATCCTGTTAGCTATAATTCCACAAAGTTTAATGTTGACATGTGAGGGACAAGCTACTTGAGTGCCATACGATGTGAAGGAGAAGCTGCAAGATGTCTACTTTTATAAGGTACTTAATAACAGTGTTAACAAGTAGGACTTCCATAAGTGAGATTCCCCTAGATAGAATATTAGACAAAAAAATGGAAATAGATTGATGAGTATATTCCTTAGCCCAGGTCAAGCAGCCCATGGGTTTAAAGCTGCCATTATATTTCAGTGATGAGAATTACGTGTGTAAGGCTAGTGTTCTCCACTTCTATATAGTGCCTCTCCAGTACCTTAAACTCAGCATTTCTCTCATTATCTCATCTTTGAGCTGTTTCTTAAATGCAACACCAACTAGCCTTTCTCTTGTAAAAGACAACTGCCTTCACACACTAAGCACAAAACACAAAGAATGAGCTCAAGAATCAAATAGAAAAGACCACTATAAAAAAATTGGAGGCAGAGTAAAGAGAGCATTGGTTCCAGACTACTCCCAACAATTTTCCAGGGATTACTACAGCAGCAACAGGAGAATCCTCCTCCAACAGCCTGACTTGCTCTTCGACCTTTTGAAATTTCAAGAATTTTGTAGAATACTTCAGGGTATCCTGACGCTCAGAAAAATATTTTCTTTGGCACTTTCTTTTCTAATTAGGATGAGGACAGTCAATCAAAGATTTCATTTCTTCTGCAGAAATTTCATTTTACTTCCTAAAGGGAGAAAAAGGTAGAGTGAACTCCCAATTCATTTTTATTTACTGTAGATTTGAGTCAAGCGATCAACAGCCCAGTTATTCAGAACAGCCCAAAAGTTAAGCTGACATCTCAAGCTGTCAGTTGATGTGTTTAATCACCTCCCCCACTCCACCCTGCCCCGAGTGTCTAATTGTAGAGGTAGAAAAGAACTCAGACATCATGTAATCTAGTGGGTTTCAACCCTGGATGTAGGTTAAAATCACCTGGCTTGCTCCTCAGCGATTTCCTCAAGCCCAGGGAAAAATTTTTTTAAGCTCCCCAGAGATTACAATATATAGTCAGAGCTGAGAACCACTGATCCAATCCTGTGTTATAAAGATGAAATAACAGCCTAAGGTATAATTTGTCCATGGTCTCTCAGCTAGTGAAGGACAGGGCCTAATTAGGGGGCATATATTTCAAAGACCAATATAAATACCATAGAATATAGGTTCTTTATTGTTTTGGGCTAGCCACACCACTGTTCTCTTATATCATATTGGATAATTAACTACAATTGAAAAATCATAAACAACTGTGTTTCTGTATGAAGTGCAAAGTTAGAGACTCGTAGGACATCCTCTTTTGCTTCAGACTCCCTCTAAACCAGGTGTTTTTTTTTTTTTTTGAGACAGAGTCTCACTGTGTTGCCTGGGCTAGAGTGCCGTGGCGTCATCCTAGCTCACAGCAACCTCAAACTCCTGGGCTCAAGCAATCCTCCTGCCTCGGCCTCCCAGAGAGCTAGGATTACAGGCATGAGCCACTGCGCCCGGCCTAAACCAGGTGTTTTTAATCTGGAGTTCAAAGGATCGGTTTCATGGGATTCATGAACACCCTAAAATTATATGCAAAATTTATTTGTATGCTGTAAGTACATTTTTCTGGGAAAAAGGACCACAGTTTTTACAGGAATTTGTAAGGAATGTGTTCAAGGAATGTGACCTGACCTAGAAAATATTGATAATCATGATATGCAAACATATCGTGAAGGATAGTTCGGGGAGCTTCATCTGAGGGAAACAGCCCCATAGATCACTCTGATGGAGAATCCCAACCGTTGAGAAAAAGACTTTTCTGGCTGGGCACAGTGACTCACACCTGTAATTCTAGCACTCTGGGAGGCCAAGGTGGGAGGATTGCTTGAGCTCAGGAGTTCAAGACCAGCCTGAGCACAAGTGAGACCCTGTCTCTACTAAAAATAAAAAAATTAGCCAAGCATCATGGTTTGAGCCTGTAGTCCCAGCTACTCAGGAGGCTGAGGCAGGAGATCACTTGAGCCCAGGAGTTTGAGGTTGCTGTGAGCTAGGATGACGCCACGGCACTCACTCTAGCCAGGGCAACAGAGTGAGACTCTGTCTCAAAAAAAAAACCAAAAAAACAATCCGCCCACCTCGGCCTCCCAGAGGGCTAGGATTACAGGCGTGAGCCACCGCGCCCGGCCTAAACCAGGTGTTTTTAATCTGGAGTTCTAAGGATCAGTTTCATGGGATTCATGAACACCCTAAAATTATATGAAAAATTTATTTGTATGTTGTAAGTACATTTTTCTGGGAAAAAGGACCACAGTTTTTATAGGAATTTGTAAGGAATGTGTTCAAGGAATGTGACCTGACCTAGAAAATATTGATAATCATGATATGCAAACCTATCATGAAGGATAGTTCAGGGAGCTTCATCTGAGGGAAACAGCCCCATAGATCACTCTGATGGAGAATCCCAACCTTTGAGAAAAAGACTTTTCTGGCTGGGCACAGTGACTCACACCTGCAATTCTAGCACTCTGGGAGGCCAAGGTGGGAGGATTGCTTGAGCTCAGGAGTTCAAGACCAGCCTGAGCACAAGTGAGACCCTGTCTCTACTAACAATAGAAAAATTAGCCAAGCATCATCGTATGAGCCTGTAGTCCCAGCTACTCAGGAGGCTGAGGCAGGAGATCGCTTGAGCCCAGGAGTTTGAGGTCGCAGTGAGCTACAATGATGCCACTATAGTCCACTCGGATGACAGAGCAAGACTCAGTCTCAACAAAATAAAACAAAACAAAGCAAAACCAAAACCTTTCTTTAAAACACTTTGGAACTAGGGTCATGGCTTCTGGTCAGTCTATTTCACGTGATTTTCTATTGCTGATTTGATTATAAAGCCTTTGTGATGAGGCCCACTATTGCAAGCCTTTCTCAGCCACATTTATCTAAAAGGAAAACACAGCAACTTACCAAGACTCCGCAAAATTCTATTCACTCCACTGGGCTCAGACTCAGGAATTGTTTCCAAATACTGGAGGGCCCGGACCTCAAACAAACCTATGAGGAAACTCATGTTGGTGAAACTGTCCAATACTCAAGACTGGAAATTAGCTAAATAAAACTCTGTGGTCATTACTAATGTATTATTCCATGGATAAAACAATGTTACAAAATAAGTAATTCTCATAATATACAACTTAGATTTTGAGCGTTTTAGCTTTGCACTATTTTTTGTTTATATTATATTCAAACCTGTCGAGTACTCACTAAACAGAGAGGGAGAACTTTATGATGGAAACTGACCTTTAACCCCACTTTTCCGAAGCTCTCGGTCCTGGATGAATCCTGCAAACATCTGAGTCTCCATGAAGAGGTTTAGGAAATGGCGTACACTGCGGGAGGTGTGGGACTTACGGAATGGCTCTCTTTGGAATACACGCTCCCCACGCTCAGTGACGGTCATATTCAAAGAATAATGTCCCACCAGCTCCACAAAAAACCTGACAAATGCTTCAGACACCAGTGAGTTGAGTGTCACATCTGCTGCAAAATGAAAGAAAAAAGAGAAAGAAAAGAAAAAAAATCCCCTAAGTTTTGTGTATCGGGGAATACCAGCTCTGCTTATAGAAGTCATGCCTAAGAAATCATAGATTGAAGGACTGAGAATAAATCCAGGCATGCTCATTCTTAGCTTTCTTTCTCCATGACCTGCAAAAAGTTAATGGCTTATATCCTTACCTTTCTTCCCACACATGCTCTTAGTATATCTTGTAGCCTGGCTTGCACATCTGTGATTTCACTGTAACTGCTCTTTCAAAGCCACTGGTGAGAACCAGCCAAATTTAATCTGCTCTTCTATTTTTATTCCTCTTTAAACTCTATGCTGCATTTGTGCTGACTGCCTTCTCATTTCTCTTGTTCCCCACAATTTAATGCTCTCCTGTTTCCTTTCTTGCCTTTATGACCAAGTGTTTGTTTTTTTCTTGCCGTTTCTTCCTTTTCCTGAGCAGGGACTGCAGATAACTTCTCTTCAACATTTCCTTCCTTTAAGAGCTAACTGGCACAGAGATAGAGCTGAATAAGATGATAATTCCCAACCTTAGGTCTGCAGTCTTGATATTTCACCTTCTAAATTTTCAGCCCATCTATGGGAGATCATCATTTGGCACTCCATCAGCAGAGAAATTCCATTTGTCTAAAAGTCATTTTATCAGTTCCTTTTTGGAACTTTGTAGACTATGAATAAATTAAGTAATATGTGCCTAAAATCAAATTCATTATATTTCCCCATGAAATCAGTTTCCCTCTCAACTTACGTTTTTGGAGACAGGGTCTCACTCTGTCACCCAGGCTGGAGAGTAGTGGTGCAATCATAGCTCACTGCAGCCTCAAACTCCTGGTCTCAAGTGATCCTCCCACCTCAGCCTCCCAAGCAGCTAGGACTACAGGCGCATATCACCACATCTGGCTAATTTTATTTTTTGTAGAGACATGGGTCTCGCTATATTGCCCAGGCTGGTCTCGAACTCCTGGCCTCAAGCAATTCTCCTGCCTCGGTCTCCCAAAGTCCTGGGATTTCAGGCATGATCCACTGTGCCCAACCAACTTTCCCATTCATATTGTACCTGATTATTCTATAAAAAATAATAGTTTATTGAGTGCTTAAGATATGTCAGATACTGTATTAAGTGCTTTAACAAACATAATAATCCAATGAGGTAGGTATTATTATTTCTCTTTTACAGACGAAACTGAGGCTCTAGATTATTAAAGAAATTCTCCAGGGTCATCCCATCTAGTAAGTGGAGATGCTGGACTCCCAAATCAGGTGATTCTTAATTCCTATAATATACTACTATATTGTCTTTCAGGTCCCAGGCTTAAACCTCAGATTCAGCTTAGACTCCTTCTTCTTCCATATCCAAATAGTCTTTTTTTTTTCCTTTAACATTGTATCTTGCTCTTTTCCATGGGCTCTACTCAGGACTGGGAATCAGGGACCTAGGTTTAATTGGAGTTCTACCATAAAGCAGCTACCTAATAGTGGGTAGCTCACTTTACCTCTCTTGGTCTATCCATATCCGTGTAGTGAGGGGGGCTGATAAGGAGATTTCCAAGGTCTCTTCCTGTATTACCTTTTGATTCTAATCCAGGTTTTTGTTATATTTTATATAACAGACTTCCTTCTCATCTCTTTCCTTCTGCAGTTGAGAATCCATGGTCCATCACCGCATTTATCTTTAACACTTTTGCCTTGCTCTCCCATCCCTTCCAGTTACTGCCCCATTTCTCCTCCATTTTGTAGCAAGATTTCTTGGAAAAGCTGTCTATACCTGTTGTACCTACTTTCTTACATCTAATTCTCTTTCTTTTTAAAATTATGTTTTTCTATAACTTCTCTTTTATTCTATTTTAATGTATATACTTCATATATTCTTTTACATGTATGAATATTTCATAAGGTCAACAGTGAAATGGATACCCAAGTACCCACTGCAAACAAAGCTTACAAACGGAACGTTACTAGTATCTCTGCAGCTCCCCGTACAACCCCCTCTCAACAATATTCTCCTACTCTCCAATAGAGGGTGACCATACTTTAGAATTTTCTATTTATCATTCCCTTGCTTTACATGATAGTTTCACTATATACATATGCAACTCCAACAATATATTGTTAGGGTTTATATGTCTTTCAACATTATTAAAAACACTACATTCTTGTGCAACTTCTTGTTTTATTCAATATGTGTTTTTAAGATTCATTTTTAATGCCTTAGTCTATCAATGGATATTTTGGTTGTTTTTAGTTTTTGCTATCACCTACAATGCCGCCATGAAAATTACTGTACTTGTTTCCTAGTGGTCTTGTGCAAGAGATTTAGTCTAGGGTATATATCTAAAAACCGAATTGCTGGGTTGTAGCATAGGTATACCTTTTACTTTACTAGATACTGCCAACTTGTTTTTCCAAAGTACTTTAACTAATTTACACATTCTCACCAATACTTGATATTGTCAGACTTTTATTTTTTACCAATATGGTGAGTATAAAAAATGGTATTGCATTTCCTTGATTTTGAGGAGATTGCACATTTCTTCATATGTTTATGAGCCTTTCATGTTTTTTCTATGAATGTTTGCTCCTATTGTTTCCCCATTTTTCTGTTGGATTATCTTTTTCTTATTGATTTGTAGGAGTCTTTTTAAAAACAAATTCTAGACCCTATTCCTTTGTTATTTGCTGAAAATGTCTTCACCTAGTTTGTAACTTGTTTTTTTCTTTTCCATGGTGTCCCTTGATGAAAAGAAATTTTAAAGATTTAACATAGTTAATTGATCTTTTTCTTTATGGTCTCTGGTCTTTGTGCCATATTTTAAAGAACTTTATCATTGTTTTAAGGACATAAAAATATTTTCTTCTATTCTTTTAAAAACATTTTTAAAAGCTTTGCTTTTAACATTTAAGTCTTTATATTCACTGGAATTAATTTTGTGTATAGTGTGAGGTATATAACCATATTAATTTCTTTTTGTACGGAAGACCAATTGTCCTAGTATCATTTATTGAATGGTTCATTCTTTCTCCACTGATAGGCAAATGCTGGCACTGACACAAATCAAGTTTCCTTATGCATGTGTACTCTCTATTCTTTCCATTGCTCTATTTCTGCAACAAAACCAAACTATCTTAATTACTATGACATTACAATAAATCTAGATGTCTAGTAATGCAAGCCCTCCAATCTTGTTCTTTTTCAAGTGTGTCTTCGCTATTCTCGGCCCTTTGTACATCCAATTAAATTTTATGATCAGCTGAATGGCATTCTGATTCTCCTTGAACCCTCTCCAATCTCACTTTCTTCCCACCATGCCAGTGAATCTACTGTTATCAAGGTCTCCAGAGCCTTTTCTATTGTCAAATCCACTGGTCAATTCTCAGTCCTCATCTTACCTGATCTCTTTGCAGCCTTAAGCATAATTGTTTACTCTTTCCTTTGTGACACACTTCTTCACTCAGCTTCTGCAATGTCACACTCCTGGTTTTTTACATACACACTTTCCTAGTTTTTCTCCTACTTTACTAGCTGCTCTGTTTAGTCTCCTTTGCAGGATAATTCTTTTCTTCCCAACCTCCAAATGCTGGAAATCTAACCACACCATTCCCAAGGAATCAATCCTTAAGCCTTTGTTATTTTCTAACTACACTCACCCTATGGGGTCATCTCATCTGGTCCCACAGCTTTAAAATAGCAATTTCTAAATGTATGTCTTTAGCTCAAATCTGTCCCCTGAATCCCAAACTGATATATATAAATGCCTACTTAACATCTCTAGTTGGGGCTCAGTGGCTTATGCCTGTAATCCTAGAACTCTGGGAGGCCAAGGTGGAGGATTGCTTGAGGTCAGGAGTTCGAGGCCAGCCTGAGCAAGAGTGAGACTCCATTTCTACTAAAAACAGAAACGATCATCCAGGCATGGTGGTGTGTGCCTGTAGTCCCAGCTACTGGGGAGGTTGAGGTAAGAGGACTGCTTGAACCCAGGAGTTTGAGGTTTCAGTGAGCTATGATGATGCCACTGCACTCCACCTGGGTGACAGAGTGCAGAGTGTCACGAGTCTCAAACAAACAAACAAAACGCATCTCTAGTTGGATGTCTGCTAGGTATTAGACGTCCAATAGGTATTTCAAACTTAATATCCAAAACTAAGCATTTTATTACTCCTCTAAATCTGCTCCTTCGCTAATGTTCCCCATCAGTAAATAGCTTTAGTTTTCTCATACGTAAAATGGTAATTAAATTATAACACCTGCTTCATAAGGATATTACAAGGATGAAATCAAATATTAATATATGCAAAGGCTTAACATAATGCTTGATACAGTGTAAGCAACCAATAAATATTCGCCCATTTATGCAATGATACTTACTGAGTACCTACTTACTGAATACTGTTTAAACTATCGGAGACAGAGAACAAAACAAAGTCACTGCTCTTATGGAACTTACATTCTAGCATGAGATGGGGATAAAAGCCATGGAGAAAAATAGGTCAAGGGGAAGAGGACAGATAGGGAGTGCTAGGGGAATAGGTACAGTTTTAAACAGGACATCAGGAAAGGCCTCAGCAAGAAAGCAACATTTGAGCATGGACCTACAGGAAGAAAGGGCAGGAGTCACGTGGCTATCTGGGGGAATAGCATTCTGTAAATGTAACTGAGCAAGTGCAAAGGTCCTGAAATAGTAGGGCACCTGACACACTGAGGATCAGCAAGGAAGCTGATTAGAAGATTTTCAAGGTACAGGCAGCCTAATACTACTTTCGTATATCCTTCAACAGAGTGCTGGGCATTCAGTAAGTTTTTACTGCCTTAACCTTAAGTCTTTGGCTCACTTGTCTCATACCTTGCGAAAAATTCTTCTCCTGATCCAAGATTTCATTTCGTTCTTCCAAAATCTGCACTAGGGCAGCTTGTAGTTTAGGTGGTAAAATTTCATCCTCATCAGATACCTTAAGAAAAAAAATTGAGATTCTGTATGAG